GTTGACGTAGCGACCTTAATCTCCTAAGTTTTATTATGTCTTGTGGGGGATCATATCAATGGTTTCTTTTGCCCTGGGTTGGGTAACAGAGAGTGTCAGTACTAACTAAAAAACAGTCCATTCCTTCTCCTGGTCTAAGCCACGGTACCTTATTAAGCAAACCTGGTTCCATTGTCAAAGCATTGTTTTCTTTAGATGACGCAATGAAATATCGAATCTAATATTTTTTGACTGATGGACAATTTAGATTTTTTTTTATTTTTGTACCATATCAAGACAGCTCAAGTATTGTTAGATCTTCGAGTAGACATATCATGAAGACTAAAATCTTGTAAGTAATTTGTCAGCAGAATTCATAGCCTAAAACATATGTATAATATAAACGATGTAGCTTCTGCCCACGGCTTTGCCCGCGTGTTGTGTTGACAAAAAGTAGCCCTATCTATGTACATAGTATATACCAAATGTCAACCAAATAACAGCCGTTTTTGCGTGAAAGGATAAGAAACTTATATACATCCAGAAAGCTTGGTGCTGGATTTTCTAGTTTACCGACTTCTTTTAATAGATTGTTCTGTCGTCCTAAGAGGAGAATAATATTACGCAATTGCACACGCTATCGGATATAACTTGGTAATGAGTTATTGAATAAATACTCTTAAAGAACTGATAAGCCAAAACACTGCAGACTGCATTGTTTACACTTAAAACTATTATAGTTTTACTTATAGATATTTGATTCCCTTTTGTGGTAAAATGTAATTTGTATTTTCAGGAGTACTTATCCGTGATCTAAAATCACGTTTCAGATTATAAGATCATCAACCAGACGCACAGATGGGGAAGTTGTGACCCAGTAGAGCCTATGTCCTGCCGGGGTTTTGGATGTAAACATAATCGGTACATCTGCGGGACGGCTCCGAATAGAAGGAACGAATTGGTTTTTATTTACTTAGTACGTTTTTAGCACTCATTGTTAAGTCAAAGGATGATTGCCGTCACTCAAAATCTCAATCAAAACTCACAAGCATCCTTAACCAGTTGTGAACACAAAACAAAACCTAAATAACACTAACAAATACCTACATTATTATTGAACTTGCTTTACTCCATACTACGTCCCATTTGCAAGGTGTAACAGATCGGATCAGGATCGATTTTCAAGCACATTTTGTATCACAGCCCAATACACGTACTTGGAAAATTTAAGGCTTTGAAAGTCGAAAGAAAATTTAGTCTAAGATGAAATAATCACAATAATAGTTTCTTTGATGGGTTGCTTTATAATTAACTTAACTGTACTACTTTAGGTCTCTCAACTAGAAGGAGCGCGGTAGGTATGTACCGCAACGGTTCGTTGATCGACGGACCTCAGTCTGGCAAGACTCACGCCCGATAACTCTGTCTACAGAGAAAGATGCTAACAAATGATGAAATGTTGCATTGTTTCATTAATCTACTAGCTACATTTAATTCATTAAGAAAGAAAGATAATAAATGAAATACTTGACCCCATAGTCGAACCAATACAACGGTTTTGTGGAGCTTAGTTTAAAATATACTTACGTTTAAGTAAAAAATTTAAACAAATAAATGCCTTTGCTCGGCATCCATCCATTTTGTGGTACCTACCTACCAATGAAGCGATTCGAAGCACAAAGTTTACAATTATCGATTTCTGTTAGGTACATAAAATTACTTACCTAAGTATATTACATTCTCGTAAACGTGTCAGTTAACTACATGTAATTATAATATAACCAGTTAACTTCCAACGTGTTTACGTGTCCTAAATTACAGCAGTATTGTTCTGGATGACGTACGAATGATTTTAATCTCACAGTCTGATGTGGAGGAAATGCGTCACGTCTGTGAATTAACTTAATAATTTATAGACGGTTAGGTATGTACTACACGAGGTAAACACCAAGTAATTGTGTATAAAGTGGAAATTGTTTTTATAAAGTACTTACCTACATAGTTACAAAACTACCTACCATTTTAAGCGATAGGATTTTTTTGTGAGGGGAAAATCATCCAATGACTTCTCCCGCTCCGGGCCGGGCGGGGGGAGTGTCAGACTCTTACTGACTAAAAACCCCCCTAAACTTCTCCTGCTCTGGGCCGAGGTCGCGGTGCCTCATTGCGCTTACCCCGCAACCCCTGCATAGCTCAGCTCTATAGGGACCACCAAAGACAGGGGTCTGTGAAGCGCGCGCGGAACTCTACGCGCCGTACGCTCGGGTTCAAGCAAGTTCAATAGGTTGGGTAACCTATTTATACCTGATGGTAAGCAATCGTAATCGACGCCGCGCATGGAAAACACTAGAGAAGTTACAATTAACGTTTTGGAGATGTAATGTGGGGGGAGGAAGGATTGGGCCTCCAGTAACTTCACTCACATGGCGAAACAAAGTTGTTTTAATAGGGATAGGTCGGAAACTAGAAGACGGATCACCTAATTTAAATTTAAAAATTGGCTCCACTAATGGATACATGCAACACTAACGCAAGCGTGTTAGGTTTTACAAAGAAACTTTATGACAAAAAAAGAAATTAACTGTTCGACTACCATTCAAAAATTTTCGAAAATTTTCGCAATGACCCACTTACACCTTGATAAACTGAACATAAGTAGGTAGTAGATTTCTAAATTTCAGTAATTTGCAAGATTTTTGTTTTGAAATTCTAACTCTAGTACTGTGGGTAAAACCGCTGACAGAAGGTAGGTACTTTGTTCAACTATAAATATATGAATGTATATCACATCTCCCTAGCAATATAGTACAAAATGGTACAAAATCAAGTTAATAAAAAAGATTATGAAATCCGAGCAAAGACGTCATTTTACCACAGACCTATAAAATGATGCGCAACACTCGTAAAAATTCATTGCCCTTCGTGACATAATTGTTTTATTAATCTGTTTTACATTTTTACGATCAACGTTATTTGGAATTGTGACGTCATTGTTTTCATGAATAAATTATAGTTCTGTGTTTTTATTATTTTTGGGATAAGGGCGAAACGAGCAAGATTACCTGATGGTAATGAAGCAGCGTTGCCCATGGTCACCAATGTCACCAAAATGCGCTACTTGGCTTCTTTTGGGCCATCGATAATCAGACTCATATATAACAAAAGCAAACGCAACCATTTGGTTTAGCGGTTGGTAAGGCAATAATGTTTTTCGGCCCCGCCCCGGAGCAGGAGACGAAACAGGGTGGTTTTAGACAGTTCTTAAGAATCTAACAACCTCTTTTTCCTAGGGTAGGAAAAGATTTGACGATTGTCTCCCCTAAAAAATACATACATAGGTAGTTAATTACTTATTAACTTGTAACCAGCGTTGTTAGCGGTAAAGTCAGTGATTTGACTTAATTTGAGTCACCATAAATTACCGCCGCTCCGACTGTGAGCAAAAGTTGGTTAGGGTAGTTTTTAATAATCTGTAACCCCTTCAACATAAACAAGAAAGCATAAAGTTAACTGCATCATTAATATAAGGTACATAATTCAGTTAAATAAATATAGTTCAAAATCACCTCAAATCTGTCTTCATAAATAATCGTGCACAAGCGCAAAAGCGAGACTAGTAACGCCATCTCTGTGTTGGCTGTGTAACTATTTCCTGTTTCAGGAGCGTGTTCGCTTCATTCGTTAGGTTTTGATACGTACAGAATATCAGCCAAGTTATTTTTGACATGTAAAAGTGATGTTTTAATACCTATTTGCAAAAATAATGTCATTGTTTCATTGTTACGTACGATAATTTAAATAAGGTACTTACTTGATGAATTCAAATGGACCCACAAAGGATAGCAGTGAAACAATTATTCAGGAATTATACACAACACATCAACAGCCTTTACAGTCTAAGTAGTGGTGTAGTAGAGGCGTTCTCTACCCTCTTCCTCCATTGGAGGGTTTGCCATACCTTCCAGGCGGGTTCGACATCTGGAAACTTCTCGAGTGTGGACAAATAATCTTCCGATTCTGAATAGATGGAGCATACCTAGTTGCAATACATACTTAAATATACATTTTATATATATAAATATGAAGTCTTTCGACTATTTGAAATGTTCAATTAGGCGCGGATTATCGTGCAGGAAGACAGTATTTCTATAAAAAAAACTGTTGCTATAATCGCTCTTCTTACAACTCTTGATATTACAATTACAATTTAACTAAGGATAAGTAAGATTAGGTTGGATTTGAACTTAACGTCCACCGAACACGTGGCTGCGTGCGTATTCTACGAAGGTCCAACACTAATTGTCCTGTTTTACAGGGAGGCCGCCTCACCAGAGCTCGGTGTTCGCTATGGACTTAATTATGACAGTTGACAGTGAAGTTTGACATCGACGTATAACAAAGAGGTTTCACATGTGCTGATGGCCAGTGCGCCGACAAATATATATTTTTACGTTGCTCCACACTCGAGTTTTCTCCTCTCTCGTGGGTGCGTTTTACTAACATACAATTCCACATACACATCACACCCAGACCCGGAACAACAATGTGTGGATCACACAAAGAGTTGTTCCGTGCGGGAATCGAACCCGCGAATTTGCATGGCAGCCAGTTGCCCAGCCATCGCGCCAACCGTGCAGTCAATATACATTGGCATCTATTCCACATTAGTGTAAGAATGAAGTTGCAATAATAATATTCAAATAAAAAGAGGAAAGATTTCATTATAATTAATTGAACTGAGACTTATTTTAAAACTATTTTTCCAGTAAAAAGTTTAATATTCAGGAATTTATTTATCCTTAATTAATTTGACGGTCTACATAAGATGTTTTTTTTTTTGTTTTCTAATATTTCAGAAATAACGAGACGTCATAAATTGAGTCTTCAAACAAAAAAAATAATTTGACTACGTAGTTGAAAACTGCCATATAACTTGCGGACTTATAAAATCTATGAATAAAAACCAGCAATACAATATAAAATTCGTATAATAAATTTATTAACAGTAACATCACTCGTAGCGTAAAGTGTAATAATATTGAACAACATTGGCATAGACTTGCGCCCGCGCATCGGACGCTTCTTCTGTATCAACGGCGGATGCTGCAGGCTGACGATTTCACGCGCTGGATCTTTTTTAGAAGAATCTGAAAATAAAATAATGAAAATATTAATTGGAATATCACTACATAGTATAAAACAAAGTCGCTTTCTCTGTCCCTATATCCCTATGTATGCTAAAATCTTTAAAACTACGCAACACATATTGACACTGTTTTTTAATAGACATAATGATTAAAGAGGAAGGTTCATATATGTAAAATAACATCCATAACATCCATTAAATAGTGGAGAAATTTAGTATCAGCATTGCACCCGTGCGTAGCAGACGCGGGTCGCTAGTTAAGAATAAAAATATGATTTTTTTGTTTGTATTGCTACCCAGGCTCCGTAACGACTTGACCAATTTTAAAAAAACATGCCGTTCCTTCTCCTGCTCAAGGTCGAGCCTGGATTACGCTTGACCCCAACTATGGTTGATCATCGTCACTGTTAGGCCTTATCTATGGTGGTCTATTGGCTCTTTGAGGCGCGCGGCAAATGCTACTCAAAAGGCTAATAATGCTTATCTATGCTATAGTATTATAAAGCTGCAGACTTCTTTTGTTTGTGTGAACGCGCTAATCTCCGGAACTACATTTTTTTTTCTTTTTTTCATTTAAAAAAACGTTGCCCCACTTTAGGATTTTCTCCTGTGTTGTGGGTGCGTTTACAAACATAGAATGTCACATACACATGACACCCAGACCCGAAACAACAATTTGTGGATCACACAAAGTGTTGTTCCGTGCGGGAATCGAACCCGCGACACGTTGCACGGCAGCCAGTTGTCCAGCCAAAGCACCAACCATGCAGTCAGAACTATTGGTTCAAATTGAACAATTTTTTTGTGTTGGATAGTCCATTTGTTGAGGAGGGCTATAGACTATAAAACTTCTCGCAACGATCTGTAGGAGCCGTGGGTGAACCCGCGGGAGAGTACTTGGTACACTATATAATAAAGATCATTTTTTACAAGATTAATCAACTGACTAACTGCAGCACTCAGTTAACTATTCCTTAGCAATGATTTTGTTCAAAAATTGCCAAGAGCTGAGCTGAGTGACCATTAAATTGATTTGAATAAAGCAGTAAGTAGGTAGACATACCATATTGTCATGGTCAATCTGCCTCTGCTGATTCTTGCGGCAGACTGCAGCCGAGGATACAGGTTTCCGAGCCTCCTGCTCTCGAGATGGTATGGAGCCCTTCCTTGTGTTTCTGGCACTAAGGATCTTCGTCAGGAGGATGTGGTTGTGCCTCTCAATCTCCCGAAGGCGCTCATTTGTAAAGGACATGTTGATACGACGATTTTTGAGGCCAGATACTGATCTGCGAATGATTACCTATGTTACACTTTATGTAGGTAACTATCCTGGGAAATATTAAATGAAAATGAAAGCGGTGGCGATTTGCAGCGGGCAATGCTCATGAATGAGAGCCCCGTTGTGACTTAAAACCCGTAGAGCTTATCAGACACGTAAGTAAGTCGTTAGTTTCAGTAAAATCAAACTTAAATAATTTATTTCAACAGACAATTTACAAAGCAAAACAAGTATTATAATATATAGCTTAGTAACATTTAATGTGTTATACACACTATTATGCAAAATCTAAATCATGAGGTAAACCAGTACCTAGGGTACGTAGGTACCTACTTTTAGATTTGACTAACAAGTAGGCTTTGTCAAAAAGCAGGCAGTTAAAATGTTATCTGTATTTATCCATACAGTTTTATCATCACCAATATCCAATCCAATCTAAATTATTTGTTAAGGTAAACATTTAAAATCATTTAATAATAAATCGCTAGTAGGTAAGTAAGACAAGTATAAAGTTGCCATCTCAAAAAAATACGTTACTCACTCACCCCAAACTTGTAGACCTTCCCGACACGGATCCTGGTGGCTTATTTTGACTAATTATAGAAGACTGACTTTTTGTAAACTTCGTGGAAGACCTGGCGGTGGGCTCTCTGCTTGTGTCACTCATCACAGACTTGGGTATAGACTTCATTGACGTCTCTTCCTCACTTTTATCATCTTCAAATTCGTCGGAGTACGCATCCTCTTCGTTGTAGGCCTCAGTTTTTTCATTTTCGGACTCCGACTCCTCGTAGACGCAAGTTTCAACGCAAATATTGGGGGGTCTTTTAGCTGCGTCTACGATGCACCCCATTTCGGATAGATCCTTCGACAATTCATCAACCTCGTTATTATTTTCCTCCTGGTACTGTTTCGTTCTCATCTGGTTGTAGTCCCCGGAAGAAAATTCGGTGTCGATATAGTTTATTTCTAGTGTTTTCTCTCGGCGTGCCATTGTGGAAGCGTGTGTTACTGTGGGAAGCTGAAAATTTAATTAGCTTAACTACTGGTGCTGTATTTATGTGGCTATTGGGATTGTGTGCCTCAATGTCTAGTGGTACCTACATTACAGTCGAACTTATATCGAGACCTAATATTATCTGTGGACGAATCACCCGATGGCAGGTAAAATCAAGGTAACTTATTAAAATCCCGCCAAACAAGAGGAATCCTAAGTGCATTCAAATTCAAATCTGGAACTTTCAGAAATGTATAAGAATGTCACAAAAAAGTTTTTCCAAACCACTACTACCGCCATGGTTGGGTGTACTAATTACTAAATAAACCTTGGCACTTTTACAGCAGTTCAGATGTAAATATTTACACTTTCTCAAGGTGATCTGTAAAAGTAATAAGACCACGGGACGCCTGAATGGCTTCCGCCATACTGTAGTGTTTTTACTGCGGGTGTTTAAATAATTGTTGAAAATACCTAAATAAAAACAAATGTTCATCGTGTTTGTAAAAAAAACTATATTTCTAAAGCTAAGAAACTTTGAATGTCTGTAATTAATTAATTACTTAAGTAGTAGAATTATGTAATTAAGTAGTAGAATTATGTAATGTAACATACCAGGTGAGATTTAATAAATTATCCAAGTTGTAAGCGCCTACCAATAAACTTATTGCAAGTTGTTTATCTACTCTTTTCTGCTCTATTTACTTAATAGTGAAGAAGTTTATTATCTCCGCTATATTCTAATAAATACTTAAAAATTGAACAACGAAGCACTAATACGAAATTAAATTAATATTGTAAACGAAAATGAAGCTCCGAAAATAACAACAAAAGACTTTGTGTGTCAAAAATAAACTTGTTTTTAGAATCTTACAAATGTCGTCTTTAGATTTATTGTCAGCCAGTATTTTGATGTCCTCGCTTTTCTTCTTATTTAACTCTTTTTTATATAAAAAAAATATGATGAAATTATAGTAATCGTAGAAAATCGATGATGCACTTAGCAACGAGGAAACAAATGTCGCGCGGTTTGGTTGCTAAGTATACGTTTCGTTTCGACACAGCAGTTTCATAATCCGACAAATATAAATCTTTTCTAACATTATTCCATGCTCTTAAAAATATGCCAGTTTTAACAATATTTCTTTGCTGAAATGCAATCCTTTTAAAAAATCCAACCTATCATTTTTTTTTCTGGTCGTGAATAGGAAACTGCTTTTCATATTAGATGCGAGAATATCATCGCATTGTCGGTCGATTTTGACGTTTCATTAGAATAGTTCAACAAATCATTCACTTTCATTCACATGAAAAGTACCTTTAGATGTGAGAATTCGTGTGTGCGATAATGATTTTTTGATAAATTCCGTGTTATTTAGTTAGATTATAACAAATTTATCGTTAACAATGGTGACTATAATAAAGAACCAACTATTAAAACATCTATCGAGGTATGAACAATAATTGATTTAATTGAATATGTCCCCTGTAGCCTGGATTTGTTCCTGTGATAATAATTTAATTAATTTTCAGTGATAAGGATTTGTAAGCTTTTAGTTTTGCTTGGAATTAATTTAAATATGCATCCTATGTGTAAACACGCGCAGTTAACTTGGCATTTGGCATGTATGTTCCTTTGTTTGATTTATTTGTGTGTTGTTATAATATCTACGTATGTATAAATGTTTTTTGTTAGCCGCAAATTGTAAAGTTATCACTTCTCTATTTATAACTTTAACACATTAGTATCAGAGAGTATAGAGATAAATAAATAAAATAAATTAACAATATTCTTAACTATAGTTATTAAACCAAACTGAAATTAAAATAACAAATACTTTATTTAAAGTTAACACATTTGTTTAAATACACGGCTATCGGACGTGTATTCGTTATCAGTCGGTCAAGTATGTAAGTCATAAGCCAAATATGTTGACTACTATGTAAATTAGGCATGTATTTCAAGGGGAATAAGAAACCTTGAAATTTATATAAAAACATTTTTTTGCTCTAACTTATAGGCACGAATCCTCCATCGAAATATTATCAAACAGTAATATCATGATAAACCAGTGTATTTGGAATCACAGTACTCAATTTTTATCCATATAAAATTATTTTAGCTTTTACTACTATTCTTCTTAAATATTTGCTACGTATTTCAACAATCCCATCTAAGGTAGGTACACAGGGTATTTTATTCCTCATCAATGATATTAACACTTATTGTAATAAATAGCTATACTTTTAACAAAAGCCAGACAGGCAGCTGTATTCCTTGATAAATCTGAACACTTCATACAGCAATCTCCTAGTCTGAGATCTTTAAGCCATCCCAATATTCCTCTTGAAATTCATTGTTATAAATATTCAGATCCTCATAAATGGAGGTCCAATATTTCAAAACTGTTGTTGTTATTTCCAATAGTATATTAAAGGACCATTCTTGAATCATACTTTAATATGATTAATTGTAATTTTCTGTGACTGAGTTAAACATAAACTATATTGTTTTTTCCTCATAAGAATGTTTAGGCAATCTAACAATACCTAAGTTTTGCTAGGAATGTTAGTAGACAAACTACTTATCAGCTTATCTGTGCAATCTAGACTTGATAATAATATTACAAAGCGGAAAGATCTAATTTCTTATTTACATTATATAGGCATCCACAATACTAGACCAATTTGATAAAGTCTTTCAGAGTTGCAGGCACCCTGCGTCTAGCAGTTCTCTGCTATGTTTAACCTTTGATCATAGTAACATTGTTGTTTACCGCTTATCATTTCATGTACCTACAAAAAATGTAATAAATTGTACAAAACAGTTTATTATAATTTTCTATGTTAAACTATAAAAATAACAATCATAATTAATTGTCAATAATGAACACTAATTAATATTATAAGAACTACATTATTGTTCCTTTCGTTTTTGATTTTTATTATGCATCAACAGCCTGTCTTATGACCTACATGGTTACTCACATATCAGAACCGACTAAATGATTGAATTGAATATTGTAAAACTGATTGAAAAAGAGTAACCATGGAGTTTCTTGCTCGTTCTTCTCCTTAGAAATCTACACTTTGTAACGAGCAAATAGCTTTACTAGAGGACAGACGGACTGACATGCTTAATGTTAAAGCTCTTCAAATATTTTTTTTTGCTTGCCATTTATAAGTGCCTGATGTGGTCTAATTGAAATAAATGATTTTGACTTTGACTTGACAAAAATTCATATTTCACAGGTGGGTAAATGCCTGAGATGGATGTTTAAGTTGTTGATAAAAACTGTTGAAGGCTAAGTCAGACACCACTGTCCGACATGGCATTCTAAGTCTTACTATACAATATCTTAATAGTCCCATTGGGCAACATTCTTCATGATATGAGTTGTAAAAAACAAAATACATTATTAAAATCAGTCTAACAGCTTCTGAGATTAGCACCTTATATGTAATAAACAATCTTTGTCCTAAGTATAATGTAGCTAACAATAAAATAAATACATAAGTCATTTTAACAAACTTACATTTCCCAAGAATAGAGCTGAATTAAAACAAAGAAAGGAGGTACTTTAAACCTTCAATGTTTATTGTATTAGCATAATATTGTATGTATAAATAATAAATACAAATAGGTATGTACCTATATACAGCATTCAGACACCAGCCAGTATTTTTATCACATTTCCTTTGTAAATGGTTTGCCAATTTTACATACAAATTATTTATATAATGTATCATTGCAAACAAATTAACTAAAATGTTTTGATACATTAGATACTTATATAAAGATATTAATAATATATCTTTGTATTAAGTACTTAATTTATATTTAGATATAACTAGCCAGATAGAGATGATGATCAATTTTTATTATTTAATGTCTGTCTTTTAGATCAATTCAAAGCATAAGAAAATTATTCCGTTTTTTCTTACAAAATAAAATTATTTGTATGAAAATATGCCAAATCTACATTTTACACTGAGTGATGACATACAGAGACAGTCTTCCTCCTAAATGTAAATTTGTTATATCCAATTTATCATTGTTTTCCAATGATAAAAATATTTGTCTGGTATTTTCTTTACTATGTTACTGATGGATTGGATTTTTGATTTTCATACCCTTCTTTTGAGGGGGGAAAATTATCTAATGATGATGTGTTAAACTCTTACTGACTAAAAGTCACTTCATGCTCTCAGTTGCTCTAGGCAGCAGTATTTTCATACCCTGTTGTCATCCCTACACAATGAAAAGTTGTCTTTCTTAAGTACAATTGAAAAACTATCCTTCCTTAGTAACACAATAAAATCAATAGAAATGTATAATACAACATATTTGTTCATTTCATCTTATGACAACAATAATATCCAGTAGATAGTAAAATTTATATGACATTCCTCTCATTCTGTTATCATTATAAACTCTATGAATAATGAAACATGGAAGAAAATGAGCTATTCAAGTTGAATAATTCATAATTCATGTAATATAAAGTTTCCACTGGACTTCAAAGGAAATATTGTGTTTATTTTAATAAGAAAATATTTTTTAATTTACAATTAAGAAGTTGTTATGTCTAGAATGATGTGAATCATGTTTCTTGGTATTTGTTCGAGTTTATAGATAAGTTTAGAATCAACTGCTAGAACATTTTCGAGAATTTCGGACTAAATAGACTAAATTTGACAATGAATTTGAACTCACAAAAACATCAATTTCTATTTATTAAATAATTTTAAAGCGTTTACCAGAATAGATGGTTGTAGGAATACGCCCTGCACCTATTTCTTCAAAATCGGTTCATCAGTTTTGACATATGTAGGTACATCTTCCTGCCCATATTCCCAAGTTATTGGGGTTAGGAAAATACCAACTAATCTGGACTATAAATTATTTATTTTTATTTATACAACTAAGGATATAAATGATTTACAAAAAAAATGTACAATAAGGGAGCTTAATGCCATGGGCACGCACTTACAGAACATGGGCATGGGCATGTTCTTTTTCTAACATAACAAATGTCTTTAAAAACTCATTTAGACAACTTTGAACAGACGTCGCCCAAAGGGCTGCACTCTCATTAACCGTGTCTCTTCTCCCACCAGGTTCACAAAGAATCTGTCACCGGAACAGATCTCCCTCTCAGCATTGCGAGGGTCTGGTGAGCTGCAGGACCTGACCTTGGATGAAGAGCTGCTGACAGACCTCCTGGAGTTACCAGGCTGGGTGAAGCTCACATCTGCCAAGTGCAATAGAGCCTCCTTCAGGATACAATGGACCAAGTTGAAGACTGTTCCGATTGTATTGGTAAGTCCATTTTGTAAATATTAAAAGTCTATTTGCGGCGAGTATTGGTGACCAAACTTGCCTATATCTCTGGATCAACGTATTTCATAGAAACTCAATAGATCTTAAATGTTATCGAATTGTAAAATACATCTCGGAGTTATTTCATTCATTCCACGCATTCCGTGCAGGAAGCTTCTCAGGAGCACACCTAGACTCTGCTGAAAGTTTTCATTGCGTCTGGGGTTTACTCGTGGCTCTGTTATACATATCACTCATCCAAACACTTCCAGCCACTTGCGTCGCGGATATCTTTTCTCCAACAAGCTAAATTACGTTTGGGTTTAATTTCTCAATTTCTAATATGGCTGGAGACACTTGTCTTGTCATATTGTCTTAAAAAAAACGTTGCCCCACACTAAGATTTTATCCTGTGTCGTGAATGCGGTTACAAACATACAATTTCACATACACATCACACCCAGACCCTGAACAATAATTTGTGGATCACACAAATAGTAATAGCCCAGCCACCGCACCAACCGTGCAGTCTACACTAGCTACAACTATAAGTGCTATTAATTTAACAAAACTTTCGTTGTTGCCTATACTAATATTATAAGAGTTGATATTATGATTGTTTGAACACGCTAATCTCCGATACTACTGGTCGAATTTAAAAATTCTTTTTGTGTATGTTTATCCATTTATCGAGGAACGCTATAGGCATAAAACATCACGCGAGTGAAACGCGAGAACATTTTGTAGTTAATAAAACTTTAAGTAAGGCAGTTGAAAATGCTACTACCCAAGCAACTGAGTCATATCTAGTCTCGAGGCTTTATTTAATAAGTATTATTAATTAATATTTTCTTCAAAGTTAGGGCTTCTTGGTCACGAGGACGACGCTACTTCGAAAACCTTACAAAGTGCAAAACCTCACATTGAAGTAAAAAAATCTTAAGAAAAGTTTCTACGGGGAAAATAACACTTTTCTTTCGTTTATAACATTAACTTTTTCTTTTAATTTTCTCTTGTATCAAGACTGTTGCGTCGATGCGTTTATGAACTCAAAATTCGAATCCACAAAGTATAATTTGTCCGCAAAGAGGCTTTTCCTTGGTCTTCTTGTGACTTCTTTGGTCTTTTCGTTGAAAATGTGACTGTTAAAAAGATTTCTGAAATAATTTAAAGGTAGGACAAATCTTACGTAATGACTTTCTGTTTTGTACTATATTGGAGTTTGTTATTATAGTCAGTCTATGCAAATAGACTTGTCTCCATTACATGAGTAGCAGAAAGTAAATTTACCTTCAAATCTAATTCGACATACCGTCCACTGCTTAGTTAAACCCTTCCCCTGTCCATTTATCAGTGCACGGGGGGTTGCAAGATCCCCTTGACACTTGACAGACGAATAGGAGATCGAAGACCAAGTCACAAATTTTTTAAGGAATCTGCTGGCTATGTCTCCATGGTTTGTTCAAAGGTTTTGGACGTAAAAGAGTTGATATAATTTTCGTTCGAACATTATTACATATAAATAAATATATAGTGTATTTAATGAACACGTAAACTACACGAGTATATGCACAAGTGCTCATTAAAACTTACACAGCCATTTTGCTTTGAGTCTAACTAAATTTTGCGCAGTTCTGCTCAGGTGAGGAGTAGTTCCCTTTGTGTTTGTGCACAGTTCCGAGAGCATAATTTCTGACACATAATATATATTAAAGTTTATTCCGAAATAACATGTGTATAAGTGTATTTATTTAAACATGTGTCTTTAAGTGTAGGAAAGCCATGCTTCGGCACAAATGGGCCGCAGTGATACCACGGCCTCGCAGAAAACTATATACACTGAACTAACTATATATACTGAAGCAACACTTAGATTATGTTTCGCCGTGTGAGTTAGATTGCCGGAGGCCAAATTCTTCCCCATTTCCAAAAGTCAAAAGTCAAAATCATTTATTTAAATTAGACCACAGTAGGCACTTTTGAACGTCAAGCAAAAAAAAGGAAATAGTATTTCAAGAGCTTTAAGCGTGTCAGTCTGTCCCTATCCTCAATCCCCAAATCCCCTTTCCTTAAATTCCTAATAACCCACAAGATTCGGCAACGCACTTGCAATAACTCGAGTGTCCATGGGCGGCGCAGATTGCTTAACATCAGGTCATCCGTCTGCTCGTATGCCTTATGATTTAAAACAACATTACTGATATACGGTGAAAAAAACATCGTTAGGAAACCTGGACTTATAATTTCTGATTATAAGTTTGAAAAGACTAATCCGCCTTGAGCAAGAGTGGGTGATTAATGCCTACATCTTCTCTTGCTGCTGCTGCTGCTGATAGAAGTGCTATTGTATGACAAAAAGCAGCCGCAGCAAGATGACAATAGCACTTCTATTAGCAGTGGGCACTTATATGCTGCTTATATGTTGTGATGTGTTTAACCTTTTCAACGCCCATCTATAAAATACGCGGTGTGCCCCCAGCGCCACGCTACAAATGTATAACGTATCTATAGTAAAACGTAGGGATGGGATTAATGTCATATCGACAAAATAATAATATTATAAGTTGAAATTAATGTTTATTCACCAGTTTACGAAGCTAAATAAAACTGATAACGTATTTTTATATTTTGTTTCATTTCATAAAGAAATCAATAAGAAAACTTGGATATAATTCCCATAATAAAAGAAAAGAATTGTAAATTTATTAGACGTGTGTTCTAGAAGGCACATCCCTATTTGCCTCCAAATGTCATCGTTCTACTTCATAATATCAAGTAGTTGGCGCTCGAGACACGTCAAAATCCTTCCTGATGTAAGGATGTCTAGATGTCGATATCTATGCTATTATTCACTATGGTCACAGCTATGGTCGAGTTGCACGTGCATAACCTCAAACGATCTTGCATAATTTATTTTGTTTACATAAAACAAATAGAACCAAAACAATCAATAGAAGCTAGAGACGTTGTTTTTTTATATTAAAATGGAGGGTAAGTTAATGTTTTTTTTTTTAAGCAGATGTTACAGATATACCCCCTTACTTATAAAAACTTGTATTGCTTAGCTACCGATTAAATATTACCTGTCCTTGTCATTTCTATTTCAATGAATAGAGATGGCAAGTGACTTAAGAGCTATTTAAGATAAGTAACGTCTAATCAATGTTTATAACAATGTTTAAAACAAATCAATGTTGCAACACAAAACATTGCACTACACTAAAATGTACAAAGTCACTCTGACCTTGAAACGCGTCCGCTAATGACGTCACAAATTTACTTTTATAGAAGTGCTTGGCGTTGTGGGCACTGACAACTAGCCACATTGTAGGGATGGGGTTATTAAACAGTGTCGATAGATCGATAGTGATTAGAAAACCTATTTATTTTTGATTAAGGGTGTGATTAAGGTGAATAAAACGTGGTTTACAGGTTACAATATGTATACAATATTATTTATTCACGTCATTTTCTTGTAATAACAGGATTTATGATCGTTTCGACGAGATGAAATATAGCGAGGTCTTCATCGTGTCCCATCACTGGCTTACTTTATATCAAGTACTTGGCGTTCGGGGCACTAAAATATTTTTTGGCGTTTTAGTTTTTATTGAATAAAAAACAAACAAGAACTTATTTTGAGTGAAAATGTTAAACATATGGCTTATAACAGGGCAATTCTCCATAAGAACAAAATAAAAGGTCTTGTAAAAGTCATAAATTTATTTTATACCATTATTACTTCCAATCAAGTAGTGGCGCTGAGGGCACGAAAATATCGAACTTCTATAGAAGTGATTGGCGGTCAAAAGGTTAAAATTAAATGTGATACCAGTGATAACCATTTTCCACCAGTTACAACTTACGTCGCTCGTGTATTAATTTAAAATCGAATATTCCATTTTGAATTGAAATCGATCCTACGAGTTTTCCGACGATGGCTTGACAAATCAACCTGATAATCTGGCTTGACAAATCAACCTCATATCCTACTGTTGGACCTTACAAACGCACTATACTGAACTCGGGGTGCGTGCCAGAAGACCTCCCCGTGGTGCACCCTGGGTGCGGGCGGCAGTCTCCCTAACGGGATGGTGACAGGGTTGGTTTGACTGTCGCCCGCAGCGAACTTCTGGCCGGGCGGAGAACCCGGTCGGGTTCTAGAGGCGACCGGCTCTATGCTGGCATGGAGTCTACGCCTCCGTGGGGGCGTTCCTCCGCACGACTCTCTGGACCTAGCAGAGAGCGGGGCGGAGAAACAAGGGCGGCACTCGTTGTGCACTCACCCTGCCAATGAGTAGCATCGGGGCACTAGCTGCGCCCGACTGCACCCGTCGATATCGTAATCCGGGAAGAGATCATGGTCATGTTTTATGACTCGGACCGGGACGAGGGTCTTGGCTTAACCGCCCGGACCGCGAGGAAGATAACCTCTATAAAAAATTCCTCCAATACTAAGTTCTGGTGCGCGGCGAGGGTATGTATGGCTGAGGAGTAGGATCAGTCGTGAGCGCACCCCCAGCTAGGGGACCGGTGGACCCCCTAGTTGGGAGACAAATGCACACTTACCCAGGGACAGGGGGCTCTCCCTGGGCGGACCTTTTATTTCCCCCATACTCGTGGGAATCACATGGAGATACCTAAATACAAAAATAAAAAGAAAAATCCACCTAACGGTGAGGAGGACGCAAGCGAGGTCAGCTCGCTTGCGAATATAACCGAGGCGCTAGATGCATCGTGTGCACGTGCCTCTAGCAGGAAGGAGTCGGACTCAGAGTCCGACTCATCATTGTCTGGCGTCAGCATCGCGCTGCGCCACAAGAAAGACCGGGGCGTTTTTAAACGTCCCAGGTTGGAGCCGTCTACCAACGAGCAGGAGGCCCCAGCCCCCAAAATCCCCACGGCTGCGCGGGGTAGGGGCAAGGGGAAGGGCTCCACAAGGGCGGCTGGGAGCCGATCCGAGCCGGCAGAGCGGCTGGCAGCGGAGGGGAGCGCCCTGG